TAAACGATGAAATGTTTTCGTGTCATATACACTTTGAGGGAAGACAATGGCGAATTTTACATAATGTAACTGTTCACATTAAGTTGAAATTGATGCCCAAATCGTTGGAAAATATTTCTTAGGTTCATTTCTTAGGTTCTAAGTTTAGATAGCTGCCTGTGCCACTGCCCCCTACTATTTGGGAATAACGGCTTACTCCAAAAATTATTGAAAGCTCTGCCAGTGGTATAGGCCCTTTGCAACTCAGTAATCACGTGCTGATTAATTCACTGAGAGCAAATGAATGAACATCTTGATTCCCATGGGTGAAATATACTGGTGAGCAAACACAATTTCTACAGCCTGTTTTGAGAGATCGTAATAAAGCTGCATTTCGTGACACACTGGTTACACATCGTTTCATTCGGTTCTTTACAAGTAGCTAAAAAGGATCACCAATTTAAAATAAAATAAAAAATTTTGCTCACCAGTACAGACACGTGACCATCAACTGCAAAGGGCCTATTGGAGTTAGATACCTACCCTTAAGTCCATAATATCAGCCTCTACTGAATTAGCAATCAATATACATCTTGGATGAGAAGCATATACACATTGGTACCAAGGCCAATTTTCCTTTGGAGCCACCATTGGAACATCTCTTGTTTCGACTTGCTTACCAAGGTGCCAAATATAGACCTGTCCAGTTTCCATGGCAACAACACCTTCACCTGGGATATAGGGACTTAGAGCTAAGCTCATAGCTTGATCTTCTTTGACTAGATTGTCTATGGCCTTTAAAGTGATCTAGAAAGAAGATAATACATAAGGCAATGATGTATGTGTGCAGGGCTAAAATTAACAGCAGCTCAATAGCCAGACCTGATGTCAAGCCACATCAGCTGAATTATCAACATGTGACCAGTCAATTGGACCAGTCAAGAGGGTTGGCATAAGAGGCATTTGACTTGACAAGTGTCAATTTTGAATACAATTATTATGTAATATATGTTTCACAAACCTCAGGACTGTCCTTTGTGGTAGAAATGGTTGCACTGAAGAATGTGCAACCATATTGGCTTCTTGTTGCCACAAAAGTGTTGCCATGTTCATAAGATACTGCAGATATCTGTCGTATTGTTCCTTTACCATCCTCATTTTTACTACAAGTTAATAAAGCAGGCTTTCTGTATAGTTTTCTTGATTTATCTGATAAAGTTCCAGTATCTTTAAGCCTTACTATACTTGAATTTAACACTTCTAAACATGGCCCACTAGGGTAAAACAGAACTATATCTTGTCCTGATTCACTATCAGGCATATTACAATAGGCTAAAGTATTCCCTTGTAAAATATCAAAATATAACTTTTCATTTTTCCGTTGTTCTACGCTCTCATTTAAAAGGTCAAAGAGTAGTTGTGGTGGAATATCATGGAATGCTTCGCAAAGCCCCCTGGGCAAAGCATACCTTTTGTCCAGCATCAGACCCAAATCTTTACTAAGAGGAAAAGTGACGAATAAATCACAGAATCTGTCCAGAAAATTGTTCGGGTTTAAGTGCTGTCTTTTCGTCATGTGAACCATTTGTATTGTTTTCGAATAATAGAAACATTTTGGATCCCAAGGCTTGCAATGTAGTTCTTCTCCAACGAACTCAACACTAGATTGAAAAGCAATATCTGGATGATTTTTGTAGAAATCACTAGTCTGTTCCAGAAGGCTCTGTTTAAAGTTTGAGTTATGAATACGACAACGCTGCTCGGGAAAGACCTTGTCGGTGAATACATTTTTACAAGGTGCAAAAAGAGGAAGAGTAAGATGAGCTTCAACAAGACGAGTACCATCACTTTCTTTATCATAGTGTCGATGCTTAGAGGTCGTCACTACACGTCCATCATTATCAATATCGATGTTAAGTGTTGATACACTTCCGTAGTCAATAAAAGTTTGCTGGTGCCCACCATCGGGATAAAATGGATGGTTAAAGGACGGAAAAGGATCACCTTCCATTTCCATGTGATCATTCGCCCGCCATCTTGACTTATTGACGCATGTGTAACATGAACTAACAGCTGGACAGCTGTTTGCAGGCCCGGGTGAACTCGATTTTCAAAAGAAGCGGCTTTCGAAGCGTACTAGAAAAAGCAGTTCTCGTAGTCTGAATTATTACTCTACACTTCAGTCATGGCGGTAAGTAAACTACGCAGCTAATCGTGGCTGGTATTTTGACAACTTATCAAGCAATATGTTTTAGTTTTGAGAGTTTGTTGGAGTTTTGCGCACGTGTTTGAGTCTACACAGGAAACCCAAAGAATTGCTGTTCACGATTTTATGCAATTTTTGAAGAGTTTAATCAATTTAATGGAGTTTTTATCGAGAATACTGAGCAGTTCTTTGTATTTTTCCGTTTCTGTTCAAATGTAATGTTTTTGCGTCCGGTTTGAAAGAATCACTGATCTTTTTGACGGCTTCTCAAGCTTTGGCTGATTTGGATTTCGTTTAATTTTGTCTGTTTAAACGAGAAAAACTCTTTTATTCCAACTTGGTTTCTGAACAATGTTAGCAAATATCCTAAAGTTTCTGATATTTTGTCGTTTTAAAGCAATATTCTTTAAGTAAAAACGAAATTTTATCTCAAAATCCGCCTACACATCGTCCGGTGAACGTCTTTACCACGTGATCGAGTGTGACCAATAGTCTTCTTTGATTGTTTCCTTCAGCTAATTTTGTATGTAATTTAGTATGTTAATTTTGCATTATAACATATTTTTACAAGAGTGTTAATTTATATGCTACACGTTTAAATCCAGTTGGATTACCAACTCTCATTACCCTTTTATAAAATGATCGGTATTTTAACCACAGGCTGCCCAATCAAGGGCGCCAGGACAGACGGATTGGGTTTTACATATGTGTGATTGTTTCAGTTATTCGTAGATTTCTA